ATTCATTTTTTCCTCCTTTTCTCTGACAGTACAATGCTTAATCTAATAACATCTAGATTATAAGAAAAATTGTTTTTTAACAGCAAAGGTGATACAATTGTTTACCTAATTACACAATTTAGAATTGTAACAATACCCTACACATTATAGTGTACTTAAAACTTAAGGCCACCACAATCAATTTAGGTAAATGCATTTCTAAATCACCTTGCACAGAGAATCATTCATCTCATCATTCTTATGTTGAAACTACAACCTGCAACCACCTTATAATTTTCATAATAGCCAAGATTTCAAATGAAAAATCTTCTTTCAGAGTAAATATCAGTATTAGTATTAGTATTATTACTTGATTGTAACCAAATATACTTGATTAAATGTTAAGTTTTCAAAAAGATTTGATTACATCCCTTTCTTTTTAAAAGGCCCAATTCCTATGCAACAAAATCTAGATTAAAACTTGAGAAATACAGTAATAACACCAATAATAAACTTCAAATGACATCAATTGCATTTTCTGATTATCACATATAGAAGTTATTGATCTTATTACTTTTGGTATTTCAAAACTACTTCAAAGTTATCAGGTGTGCAGCAATTACTTTAAATTAGAGAGATAATATTAATGTTGTCTAGCATATGCCAGTTATTTCACAATCATGGGATCCTCATAACTTCTCTCAAAAGTGACTTCTACTATTACCTCTTACAGAACAGTAAACCGAGGTAAATAGACTTAAATCAAATCAAATCTGGATTTACAATCGCTAATGATAAACATTTAAAACTCTTTTTAAAAGTCCAGGTACTCTTAGTCCTTTGAAAGGAAATATTGCCCATAAATTCATAGATTCTCTTAGAAAGACACGTGGTTACAGTTCTCAGCTCTGAGTAACTTTTTCTCTCCACTTCCTTAAGGGAGCTGAAAAGTCTCCATTTTTGAGCCTTATTAAAAGATAAAGCTACCCTAAAAAAAGGTTAAAACTACCCTAAGCATTCCATCTCCTGTGATTTCCAGACGGATGCATAAATTTGACACACTTTAAAATCACCTGTAATCCAAGTCAGCAAAAGGATTTGGCCTGGCCAGAGAGACCTGAGGAATTTCAATCAATGCTGATGGGGTGTGTCCAGTTTTCTTTGAACCTCACCTTCCTGATGTCATTAGTCTCTTCAAGAAAAAGGATGAGTAGCAATCTGTGAAGAGGAGTTGCTGCCCCACTGGGGACCAATGTTCCAGCTCCAGTTAGGCCATGCTCCTTCCCTCATTCCTTCCTTTCTTCCTCAATTTCTTTCTTCCTCTCTTCCTCCCTATGGAAAATCATACACTTGCATTTGAGGGCTCTGACTAAAGAAATATAAATTGCTTGTGACTGAGCTCTGCAAACCCAGGCTTTGATAAAGCCCATTCAGATTCAAATGGACATACTTCGCTATGATTTCAATCCTCAATACTCTGGCTCTCACTGATTGGCCAATAATAACTCCCAGTCCAAGCCTCTCTGTTTGTGATCTCATAGCTCAAAGCGAGTGTACGTAGCAGTTGTTCCTGCTCTGGACAGAAACCCTAACATCTTCCCCTCCCAAATTGTTATAGCAGTAGATGTCCCTATCTCACCTGGTTGGAAATGCAACAGCTGCTCACAGGCTGGATCCCACTGTTGATTGGCATGGAAACTTTGTTGTGCTCTCTTTCTGATCTGGGCCAGTTGACATGTCTTTGGGCAACTTCCTGGGGGGAAGAGGCCAGGCTTCTGTTGCTGCCGTTCTTGGTCTGGACACCAGATCTGGCCACAGCCCAGCTGCTGCTCCTAACTTCTGAGCTCAAGCAATGCACCAGCCTCAGCCTCCCTGGTAGCAGGGATGACAAGCTTCGGCCACCATACATGGCTATGTACCAGGCCTAGTGTTGTCATTACTCAATCACTTGTTCTCCTGGTCTTTTCATGTCACTCTGCATCAGTACATTTTTATAACTTTCTCTGGTTTCTCTGAAACCAGCTTTTTCACCATATACTACTATTGTAGACTCTAATTTAGTCAGCCATTCCCCAACTGCTTTCTTTAAGACTTCAGACTTATGCTTTGTCAGCCATTACTGAGGTCATTCTAAGAAAGACAAACTGGGGGAGCTAGGTGGTGCAGTGGATAGAACACCGACCCTGAAGTCAGGAGGACCTGAGTTCAAATCTGGCCTCAGACCAAACACTTGGCATTTACTAGCTGTGTGACCCGGGCAAGTCACTTAATCACAATTGCCTAAAATTAAAAAAGAAAAAGAAAGACAAACAAAACCAGGCTGCATGTACATGTTTATTTCTCTGAAAGCTTCTGGAACATGCATATAGAGATAAGCATGGTAGCTCATTGTGAAAATGAGCCCAAAGACAGGTAAACAAAGGAGCTCTTAGATCTTCACATTAATTCCCTCTCACCCATCGCTCCCTTCCCAGCTCAGGGTGCCTATGTCAGCCAAAATTAGAGCCTCCATATGTGTTAACCACAATATGAGAAGGGAATTTCTTAGTTAGATAGACTGTAAATACAATGAGATAAGAGAATGTCAAGGTGTCCATTGACATCATACATGCAGGATTTCTGTGTTTCTTTTATCATTAACATGAATACGTATAGCATAACATAGCATAATGCATGCCCATAAAAAACAACATAAGAAAAACTCTCATCATTCATGATAATGTCCAGTTCAAAACATCCTGCCCTTGGGAGTCATAAACAGAAGAATGCTCCGGATCAGTTTCATCCAGCCTTCTAGTTAGTTGCTGACACAGGAAGGAGCATTTTGGTTGCACTCAGAGAGCAAAACAAAGCATGTCTGTTATGCCACAGCATGCAAAGCATTATGGTAGGTTAAGCTCAGAGCTGGCCAAAAATGTCTTTCTCCTGACTGTCCAATCTAGGTTTTAGGATTTTCTCAGGTTTTGGGGGGCGTAAAAATGGTTCATATCCTCCTACTTTTGGTCAAAGGTGTGCCCAAAGATGCTCCTGCAGGCCAATCCAGGTATAGGGAAGGCTTCACTCTTCCTCACAGAGTGGGAAGAGATGTCCACTTGTAGCTGGTGCCTTCAGATGATCCAGGAGTGTACATCCACAAGGTACCAGCTGTGGGAGTTCTCAGAAACACCTGAGAGGCTCTTAGAACACATATCAGTTGGCAACTTAGAATAAATAACAAAACGTTCACTATTTCATAAAGTCAAAAACTCCGGCTTTTGGGATAAGATCTATTTCACAAAAACTGCTAGGAAAATGAAAATAGTATGGGAGAAATTAGGCACAGAACAACATCTTACACACCATATCAAGACAGAGTCGAAATGAGTACAAGATTTAGATATAAAGACTGATAGTATAAGGAATTAAGAGAGCAAGGAATACTTTACCTGTCAGATCTATGGAGCAGGGAAGGACTTATGACAAAACAAGAAAAAGAAAACATTATGAAATGCAAAATGGTGATTGTGATTATATTAATTTAAAACTTTTGCACAAACAAACCCATACAACCAAGATTAGAAAGGAAGCAGAAAGCTCGGAAATAATTTTTAAAGCCATTATCTCTGATAAAGGCCTCATTTCTAAAATACCGAGAGAACTGAGACCCATTTATAAGAATACAAATCACTCCCCAATTAACAAATGGTCAAAGGATAGGAACAGGCAGTTTTCAGATGCAGAAATTAAAGCTATCTGTAGTCACATAAAAAAATGCTCTTGATCACTATGGATTAGAGAAAAGCCCATTAAAAGAACTCTCAGGTACCATCTCACACCTATTGTATTAGTTACATGACAGAAGAGGAAAATGATAAACGCTGGAGAAGATGTGTAAAAATTAGAACACTAATGCATTGATGGTGGAATACTAAGCACGTGCAAAATGTAGAACTCAAAATCTTATAAAAGTGAGTGTTGAAAACTAAAAATAAGTGTATTTTTTTAAAATAATGTGGTACAAACAACAATCTGTGAGGAGCAGTAGCTGCCCCACTGGGGACCCAAGTCTTCAGTTCCAGCTGGGCAATGCTCCTTCCTTCTCTCTTTCCTTCCTCATTTCCTCCATATGATGAGTCATATACTTACAAGTGGCTGCTCTGACCTTCATGCCCTGAATCCTAACCAGACAGGGTAAGAATGTCAGGGGCCAACAGGGCTCCAGCTGGTTTTGTCTACAGGGAAAGATTCCAAGGTGGGGGCTGGTCATTGTTGTTTCTTGTTTATCATTCTTTCTGCAAGAGGACCAATGACATCAGGAAGGGATGGCTTGACTTCCACTGGACCTAAGTGAGGCAGGGCTGTGCCAAGACATCAGGGGAGGAAAGCAGAAGAAGTACTTTAAAGCAACTGAATAACAATTTTGCTCCTTTTGGCCTTAGTTTTCCCATCCACAAAAACAAAAAAAGCTTAAGACCAGCAATCTTTTTTTTTTCCTTTTTAGCTTTCAGAAAGATATAACAGAAACACAGAACACAAGAATAAACATTTCTCCTCAACAACGTAAGGGACACATTCTCCTCACAACACCTAGTAGAACATAGAATCTCCAAGTTCCCCTCCCCCCACCCGTCTCCATTTCATCTAACCCTGGGCAATTAACTCTCTATATATTTTGTTGATTCCCTGGTCTTAGTTTTCTTTCTAACTCAGCTCTTTCCTTTCTTTTTTAATTCTGTTCTTTGCGTAGACGCTTATCAACTCTTGGTCTGTAGACACAGAGCCAGCTGATCTCCCCTGGGAAAGTAGATAGGCTTCCCCTGCTTATAAACACAATAGGACATCTGCCACAGCCACCACCATGTCCAGTCTAGGGCAGGTGCATTTAATACAGCAATAAAAAAAAAAAGGCCACATGAGGTCACACCTTCAAGGAAATACAATTGGGCCACTCCATCCAATGTGAATATAACCACTCCTGGGGTCCTTCAGTTCAAGCTGGACCAGCACTTTTTCGCATGTTGATATCCAAGGCACCTTCTCAAACCCAGCCTGAGATACAAATATCTCCCATCTGTCTCCCTCGAAGCTCAGAGCTCTCTGCCGCCAACTCTGCCAGGGTCACCATGCTCTCCCAGTCCTTGCTCCTCTGGCTGCTACTGCTCTGGCCTCAGGGTAAGACTTCCAATGACCCATAGTTTGGCATCACTTTAGAAACAGGAGTTTTCCAGGGGGCATCTCTGACACAGCCTGAGGGTAAGGGAACTACTCCTGCATTCACTGCCTCTACACAAGATTCTTCATTCACTGAACTCTCTTTCTTCTTCTCCTTTAGAATCCCAGGCAGCCATTGAGGTGACCCAGTCCCCAGCCTCCCTGTCTGTGGCTGCAGGAGACCAAGTCACCATCAGCTGCAAGGCCAGTTCCAGCATTAGCAAGTGGATGGCCTGGTTCCAGCACAAACCAGGACACTCTCCCAAACAACTGATCTATGATGCTTCCACCCTGAACTCTGGGGTCCCGGCCCGGTTCAGTGGCAGTGGCTCTGGAACAGACTTCACTTTCACCATCAGTGCAGTGGAGGCTGAGCATGTGGCAGATTACTACTGTTTTCAAGGTTACAGTGATCCATTCCCACAGTGTTTCAGCGCTGAACAAAAACCTCCCCAGGCTGCTCAGCCCTTCAGCAGGGCAGCAGCTGCTTCAACACAGTCAAAGGCTTGGGGCAACCACTGCCCTCAGCAGAGAATGGGCCCACATCAGCCCTGCTGTAGGAGACATTTGTACCAGGGACCCTGGTTGAGGTAGAAAGAGTAAGAAGAGAGAGAAAAAGGGGGAAGAAAAATAATCTTCTGCCTCCTGTGCTTTAGCCAGGGACCACAAACCTTGCCATGCTGACTGCTTCCAGGAGCTGCCCTCATTCTTACTCTGCCCTCTAGGTAAAGACAATGTGATGGCCATGAATCCAATGAGAGAGAGGTCTTTCCTAGGTCTCAGGTTTTCACTTCTCTTTCTCTGGTCCCAGAGGTCATCTCCAGTCATCCTGATATCTTACTACTGGACTCAGATGGCTCTGGAGCAGAGAGTGAGACTGCAGACTTTGCACAGCCTTGCCTCACTTAAATCCAATTCACTTCCAAGTCAAAACATCACCTTCCTGATGTCAATAGTCTCTTCAAGAACAAAGGATGAGCAACCATCTGTGAAGAGGCATAGCTGCCCCACTGGAAGATGTGTAACAATTAGAACACTAATGCATTGTTAGTGGAGTTTAAACTGGTCCAAAAATTTAGTACTCAATAACTCATTAAAGTGAATGTGGAAAATGAAAAACAAAAAATTTAAAAAAAAATAGTGAAGGACAAACAACAACGTGTGAAGAGTAGTAGCTGGCACATATTGGGCCCACAACTGTCGAGCTCCAGTTAGGCAATGCTTTTTCCTTCATTCCTTCCTTTCGTTCATTTTTTTTAGGGCAATTGGGGTTAAGTGACTTGCCCAGGGTCACACAGATAGTAAGTAAGTGTCAAGTGTTTGGTCTAAGCTGGATTTGAACTCAGATCCTCCTGATCTCAAGGCCAGTGCTCTATCTACTGTGCCACCCAGCTGTCCCTCATTTCTCCCTTTCTTCCTCAATTTCTTTCTTACTCCCTTCCTCCCCATGGGGAATCACACATTGCATTTGGGGGCTCTCACCAAAGGAATATAAATTGCTTCAGACTGAGCTTGGAAACCAGGCTTTGATAAAGCCCATTCAGACATGTATGTAATTCTTAGAGGAAACAGTCGAATCTTGTTGCTTTTCTCTCAAATTGGCCATCCTATTTAATTAGAAATGTGCACAATTACACCTCGGTCTTCTACTTTGTCCAATCACTTCCTCTCAGGAGGAGTTATCCATATGTGAATTGGATTTAAGTGAGGCAGGGTTGTGCAAAGACATCGGTCTCACTCTCTCCTTCAGGCTCATCAGAGGCCAGTAGTAACACATAGATCAAGATGATAAGCAAGATGGCCCCAGATGCAGTGGGACAGAGCTCATTCCCAGGTCTCAGTTTTCATTTCTCTTTCTCAGGTTGCAGTGACCATCTACAGTCATCCTGTCTTGCCACTGGACCCAGACATCCTGATCTATGTCTTGCCCCTGGACCCAGATAGCTCTGGAGGTGAGAGTGTGACCGGTTCCTTTGCACAGCCCTGCATCACTTAAATCCAGTTCACTTGTAAGTCAAGACATCACCTTCCTGATGTCACTGATCCTCTTGAAGAATGAGGGACAAATCAGATCTAAATAATGGGAAAAATATCAGTTGCTCATGGGTAGACCAGGCTAACATAATGAAAATATCAACTCTACCAAATTAATTTACTTATTCACTGCCATATCAGTTAAAAAATTTTTTACAGAGCTAGAAAATATAAAAACAAAATTCATCTGGAAGAACAAAGAGTCCAGAATATCAAGGGAATTAATTAAAGAAATGCAAGGGAAGTTGCCCTAGCCATACAAGATCTGAAACTGTATGTGAAGGCAGCAATCATCAAAATTTCTTGGTACTCACTAAAAAATAGAGTGGTAGATCAGCGGAATAGGTTATGTGCACAAGACACAGGAGGCAATGAGTATACTAATCTGCTGTTTGATAAACCCAAAGACTCCAGCTTCTGAAATAAGAACTCACTCTTTGACAACAGCTGCTGGGAAAACAGGAAAACCACGTGGCAGAAACTAGGCCCAGACCAACATCTTACACCATATACCAAGATAAGGTCAAAATGGGTGCACGATGTAGACATAAAGGGTAAACTAGGAGCAATTAGGAGAGCAAGGAATACTTTACCTGTTAGATCTATGGAGAATGGAAGAATGAATGCCAACAAAAGAGGGAAACATTATGAAATGCAAAATGGGAAATTTTGATTACATTTAGTTAAAAAGGTTTTGCACAAACGCAATGCAAGCAAGATTACAAGGGAAGCAGGAAGCTCGAAAACAATTGTAGAAGCCAGTGTCTCTGATAAAAGCCTCATTTCTCAAACATATACAGAACTGTGTCAAACTCATAGAAATAGAAGTCATTCTCCAATTCATAAATGGTCAAAGAATATGAACAGACAGTTTTCAGATGAAGAAATTAAAGCTAAGTATAGCATATAAAAAATGCTCTAAATCGTTATTGATTAGAGAAATGCAATTAAAAAAAATCTGAAGTAGCACTCACACCTATCAGATTGGCTGATATGACAAAACAAGAAAATGATAAATGTTAGAGAAGATGTGGGAAAAGTGGAATACTAATACATTGTTGGTGGAGTTGTGAACTGATTGAAAAATTTAGAGCTCAAAATCTTATAAAAGTGAATATTAAAAACTAAAATGGAAATTATTTTTTAAAAAAAGAATGGAGGACAACAATTGTCTATGAGTAGTAATAGCTACCTCACTGGGGAACCAACAATTCAGTTCCAGTTGGGCAATGCTCCTTCCTTCATTCCTTCCTTTTTTCCTCAATTTCTTTCTTCCTCTCTTCTTCCTAATGGGGAATCATACACTTGCATTTGGGGGCTCTGACTAAAGGAATATAAATTGCTTGAGACTGAACTCTAGAAACCCAGGCTTTGATAAAGCCCATTCAGATTCAAATGGAAATACTTCCCTATCATTTCAATACACAACACTCTGGCTCTCACTGATTGGCCGATATTAAGTCCCAGCCCAAGCCTACGTGGGTCACTGTTTGGGATTTGAAGGCCCAAAGACAGTGTAAATAGCAATTCTTCCTGCTCTAGACAGAAATCCAGAGATCTTTCCCCTCCCAAAGAGTTTTGGGCCTTTTTGTCTCCCAATGTCAACTGGCTGGAAATACAACAGCTGCTCACAGGCTGGATCCCACTGTTGATTGACATGAAAGTTTGAGGTGCTCTCTTTCTGATATGGGCCAGTTGGCAGGTCTTTAGGCAGCCTCCTGGGGAGGAAGAGGCCAGGGCTTCTATTGGTGCCAGACTTGGTCTGGACACCTGTTCTGGCCATAGCCCAGCTGCTGCTCCTAACTTCTGAGCTCAAGCAATGCACCAGCCTCAGCCTCCCTGGTAGCAGGGATGACAAGCTTGGGCCACCGTGCATGGCTATGTACCAGGCCTAGTGTTGTTATTACTCAATCATTTGATCTCTTGGTCTTTTCATGTCACTCTGCATCAGTACATTTTTATAACTTTCTCTGGTTTCTCTGAACCAGCTTTTTCACAGTGTACTACTATTATAGACTCTAATTTAGTCAGCCATTCCCCAACTGCTTTCTTTAAAGACTTCAGACTTATGCTTTGTCAGCCATTACTGAGGTCATTCTAAGAAAGACAAACAGGGGCAGCTAGGTGGTGCAGTGGATAGAGCACCGACCCTGAAGTCAGGAGGACCCGAGTTCAAATCTGACCTCAGACCAAACACTTGGCATTTACTAGCTGTGTGACCCTGGGCAAGTCACTTAATCACAATTGCCTAAAAAAAAAGAAAAAGAAAGAAAGAAAACCAGGCTGCATGTACATGTTTATTTCTCTGAAACCTTCTGGAACATACATACAGAGATAAGCATGGGAGCTTATTGTGAAAATGAGCCCAAGGACAGGTAAACAAAGGAGCTCTTAGATCTTCACAGTAATTCCCTCTCACCCATCCCTCCCTTCCTGGCTCAGGATGCCTGTGTCAGCCAAAATTAGAGTATCCATATGTCTTAACCATAATATGAGAAGGGAATTTCTTAGTTGGATAGATTGTAAATACAATAAGAGAGAGTATGTCAAGGTGTCCATTGACATTATAGATGCAGGATTTCTTGTTTTTTTATATTAACATGAACATGTATCGCATAACATACATATCATGTCCATAAAATACCAAATAAGAAAAGTCTCATCATTCAAGCAGCATCCAGTTCAAAACATCCTGCCTTGGGAGTCATAAACAGAAGAATGCTCCTGATCAGTTTCATCCAGCCTTTAGTTAGTTGCTGACACAGGAAGGAGCATTTTGGTTGCACTCAGAGAGCAAAACAAAGCATGTCTGTTATGCCAGAGCATGCAAAGCATTATGGTAGGTTAAGCTCAGAGCTGGCCAAAAATGCTTTCTCCTGATTGTCCAACCTCGGTTTTAGGATTTTCTCAGGTCTTGGGGGGTTCAAAAATGGTTCACATCCTCCTCCTTGTGGTCAAAGTCGTGCCCAAAGATGCTCCTGTAGGCCAGTCCAGGTATGGGGAAGACTTCAATCTTCCTCACAGAGTGGGAAGAGATGTCCACTTGTAGCTGGTGCCTTCAGATGATCCAGGAGAACACATCCACAAGGTGGCAGCTGTGGGAGTCCTCAGAAACACCTGACAGGCTCTTAGAAGACATATCAGTTGGCAACTTCGAATAAATAGCAAAACTTAAGTCCTTGGTTGAAGACACATAAGATTGTCAGGTTCAAACTATATAGCAAAGTTTTTCTCAGAATTCCCATAATTGCACAATTGCCTGAAGTCAGGAATGGATTAAACTACTGATAGGACGTACAACAGACAAGTTCTGTTCAAGGAAATTCACATGTCACCAAGGTAAGCAAGAAAACATGAACATAAACCATACAATGGTAAATAACAGTAGGTCTCCTTGTATTCCAGTAACCTATTCTCAATGTCTAATTGATCAGTACCTTTTAAGTCCCAGATATCTCATGTAGTTATCTGGTCTCTAGATATCCTTTCTTGGACAACAGGTTTTATTCTCAAGACATTTCTAAAAGGGAGTTATGCTTCTCTGGATCAAATCTAGAAGTTTCCTGGATAATTCTGACTTAGTATAAGTTAGTACAAAAACATAAATTTGATTCTCCAATTTTGAAACTTCAGAGAATTTCACTTTATATACCAGTGGCGGTTTCTGTCCTTGCCTAAATCCTGTACCTGGTCTATGAATCTTTTAAATTTGAGGGTCCCATCATAAAATGAGCTCCTCTGCCTTTTAAATTGTCAGACAGATACTTTTGTAATGGAAAATACAAATTTGAAAACTTACTACCAAAGCATGCCTAAAGCCTGAATTTGCATGAAAGATAAATTTTGGAAGCCAATGATGTAGACCTCTATATAATTCATAGAGGAAGCAGTCTAATCTAGTAGCTTTTCTCTCAAAATTTGCTATCCTATTTAATGAAAAATATATCACATTGTACCTTTGGCTTATTACTTTGTCCAACCACTTCCTCCAGGAGACAGTCTTCACCAGCTGCAAGGCCAGTTCCAGCATTAGCAAGTATGAGGACATCAGCATGGTCAAGACAAACAACCCTGAACCACGTCTTTAGAGAAACTCTGAGAAGCCGTGTTAACCACCTGACAAAGGGAGGATGGACACCAGATGCAGAAAGTGAACTCTGACACTGTCTAGAGTTATTCTGCTTGACTGTCCTTATATGTTACAGGGGATTTGTTTTTCTTTATTTCTTCTCAATTTTTATTTCAGGAATGAAGCAAGAGGAATCATGAAGGGGGAAAAAGTAGAGCATTGACTCATCTTTTTAAATGTGCCAAAAAGAACAGAAGGCAGTATACATATGCAGGACCGTTTACAAAGATAGGGATGGGCTTTATTTTATGGTTGTTTTACAAGCTGTGTGAAAGAGAGTTTCACAGCTTCATACAGAATCCTCTTTCTGTGTTCTGCTGCAGGTATGGAAATGCTCTTCTCTTAGTGTTCAATGTTAAGTTCAACATTAAAAATTTGAATTGGGTCAGAGCCAAGATGGTGGAGTAAAAGTAGTGACTTGCTTGAGCTCTCCCTCAAAACCCTCCAAATACTTGTAAAATAGTCGCTCTAAACAAATTTTAAAGTGGCAGAACCCACAAAAAAAATAGAGTGAAACAAATTTCCAGCCCAAGGCAACCTGCATGGTTGATTGGAAAGGTATATCACGCTGGCCAGGGGAAGAGAACAGTTTAGCATGGGCTGGCAGACAAACCAGGCCACAGCAGACCTGCAGCAGGCCTCAGGGGACTGAATCATGGGCAGCTATAGTGGTTTCTAGAGTTCTCAACCCATGAACACCAAAGACAACTTAGAAGGTCAATAGGAAATGTCTGTGCCTGTGGTGTTAGAGAAGTGAGGTCCAAGCCCCTGTTCCCAGCTGCTTCCAGAGCTGCTGGCACACAGACTGAAGCAGAAACAAGTGGCTGATCAGAGGGGGATTGCAGAGATCTCTCTGCTTATACAGGATTCCTTGCTTTGCCCTTGCTTGGATCTGGGCACAGTTCTGGGTGGCAGTCCTGGGGCAAGGAGTGCTGGCATCGTGGTGCTTGTAGTGGCAGTGAAGAGAAAATCCTTCTGTTCACAATCCTGTGAGACAAAACAGTGCTAATGGTCACCCATAGATTAGAGCAGAGGCCAGGAAAGGAATAAACACCTCGTCCTTAATTATAGCACCTTGGAAGAACTGGAAATTTACAGGTCTCTAGAAGTATCTATAAAAACGGTGGCACAAAACCCCTGAAGCTTGGGACAGTACATTCTCCACATTGGAAGCAGACCCCTACCTTAAAAAAGAGTTTGTAACTCAAGTAATTGGCTGGGATCATGAAGAAACAGTGTAAAAACAGTCGGATCATAGAATCTTATTTTAGTGACAAAGAAGATGAAAACATACAACCCAGAGAAGAAAACAAAGTCAAAGCTCCTACATCTAAAGCCTTCAAGAAAAATACAAATTGGTCCCAGGCCATGGAAGAGCTCAAAAAGGATTTTGAGAAGCAAGTAAGAGAAGTAGAGGAAAAACTAGGAAGAGCAATGATAGTGATGCAAGAAAATCATGAAAAACAAGTCAACAGCTTGCAAAAGGAGACCCCCAAAAATACTAAAAAAAATAACACCTTAAAAACTAGCCTAACCCAAATGGCAAAAGAGGTCCAAAAAGCCAATGAGTAGAAGAATGCCTTAAAAAAAAAATTCTAAATCAAAAAGCACACCCAGTCAGACACCTGCCACAGACACTACTGTGTCCAGCATGAATCATGGGCATTAAAGAAAACACTGCATGAGAAGGTCATCCTAGCAAGAAAATATAACTGGAAGCTTCCCCACGTGTTTGTTTCTGAGCAAACAGGAAGCACATGAAGCCAGGAAGTGGCAGTGAGGAAGAAGAGCCTTTCAGGCACATAGGACAGCAGTGAAGGGCCACAGGGTCAGGAGGAGGGTCCTTTATGAGAAACAACAAGAAGGCTAGAGTCACTAGATCATGGGTACTTGGAAGGGCTTGAATGTCTTTCTTGATGTTTCCCTAGCAGTTAGTGTTTTATTTATCCTTTACTTTTATATTAATACTATCAACATTCTGGGCTTCAGATGTACAACAAATACCTGATTGAGGTCTCATCATTAATATGTTGAAGCTACATCTTTCCTCTGTGCTATACACTTCCATAATATTCAAGAATTTCAAAAGAAAATTTGCTATTATATATAATTATTCTTATCTGCTTGGTAACAAAATATGCCTCATTAAATATTTAAGAATTTTTTTTTCATTTTTAAGCAATTGGGGTTAAGTGACTTGCCCAGGGTCACACAGCTAGTAAGTGTCAAGTGTTTGGTCTGAGGCCGGATTTGAACTCAGGTCCTCCTGACTTCAGGGCCGGTGCTCTATCCGCTGCGCCACCTAGCTGCCCAACAACTTTCAAATATCTATTTTTGTCACATCCTTTTAAAGCCCAACTCATAATCTAATAGCATCCAAATTAAAAGTGGAGTTTTTGTCTAACAACATTTCTGGTTTGCAATGGTCTCTCAAATTTCATAATATAAATTTCAAAATACAGTATAATTGAGGAATGCAATAACAACACACAAAAAAATAAACTTCAGATAATATCAGTTGCATTTCCAAATTATCACATATATTTTTAAACAATCATTGATGTTATTACCTTTGGCATTTTAAAACCACTTTAGACTTATCAGGTATCAGGAATAATTACATTCAATTAAAGAAACAATAATACATTACTCAGCATATGCCACTCACCATGCTAAGCACTTTATCTCACAACAACAACCCGGGGAGATGGGTACCATTATTATTTTTCTCTTTGCACATCAGAAAATTGGGGCACAGACAAGATAACTTGCTAAACTCAAGTAGCTAATAAGTTTCTGCAACCAGACAAAAGAGATGGGCTCACCAAGGGCAGAGGCTGGCTGGCTTCCCTCACCTTCACTGCCATGCTCAGTTCTACCAGGAGCACCTGAACCTCCCCAGGCAGCAGCAGGGCAGACTCTTTCAAGTGCTAGCCTTGTCCTGGATATTGACTGACTGGGCTTTGGGGGATATGGCAGAGTGCACTACCTAGGGGCTGCAGTGGCTGGTGCCAAGATTTTCCAATTGGTGGTGGTTCCTGGTGGCAGGGCAAGGTAAATGAATGCTGGATATGGGCCTGATCTACTGCCCAAGCTGCAGGCTCTATTGGGCTAGGCCACTTGTAGCTGCTGGGGTAGGGTGGTCAGCATGTGTTGCACCCGAGTGATACACCCAGGCTTTCCTAGAGGGGTGGGTTGCAAGTTGCCCAGGAGCACAGGGCATTGGGGACACTGAAAGTGGAACCCCACTGTGGCTGCTGCCACCCTCTTCACTCAAGTGGAGAAGGGTGATTCAAGTTGCCCTACAGTTCTCCAGCATTCCCTTTTCTTAATCTGATATGACATGAGAGGGGTTAATAGAGAGAAATAGACTGTTAGCAATCCCCATAACTGAGATACACTCATTACTCCAGGGCAGCAGTGGGGAAGGCAGAGAGGACTTAATTTTCCAAAATCTCAGGAGTTCTTCCTGCAATCTTAAAAGATTAATTTCCAAACTCCTTAATGATTCATCTTCAAACTTCCAAAATCTGCTAAGACATTTTTAGTGGTTCTACAATTTTGATTATCTAACTTTATTTCCTACTAACACTTGGCCAATGTTATGAAATTCTTACACACTTTTCCTCCTTTTTTATAACCTAATCTCCCATGGAAAGCCTAAGGTGGGAGTTAGTCTACTTACTGAGACCACTACTTCAGCTATGACCTCAAAATAAAAAAAAGGTCACTGATCTTTCCAGTGTTTTCTCTACTTACAGCACTTATAAGTTTTTCTGGCTGGCTACATTTTAAATCTTTCAAGGTAAAAATCTAATTTACAGTGCAAAAATAACAGACATTTTATAAACACTAATGCAGACACAGACAAAATGACAACACAGATACAAATAACAAAGTGCAGAAATCCAATTTTAACTGGGTGACCTAAGGAGTGCAGAAACCGAAGGCATGCACAGACCAGAGGCATGCAGAGAGAACAAAGTATGGAAGAAATCCTTATCTTCAGAGGAGACCTGTTCACTCGGGTGGTCTCTACTCCTAGCCAGCTTGGAGAGAAATGTGGACTTCTACCTAATGCATGAAGTCTGAGATGAGTGGGGATTAGAGAAAGGACTCACCTATCATTCAAGGCTAGAACTTCAAGAGAATAGGTCTAGTGCCAAGCTGCAGAACTGTTGGGCTTAGGAGTCTGCAGTTTCCCATCCTATCTGAGTCACAATACCAAGATGTCAACCTCAGAGTTCAGTCTAAGAAAAAAAGCAGAATTAGTTGTATAGATGTTTATTTCTCTCAAGCTGACAGCATGCAAGCAGAGCTATAGCTGAACTACTGACAAAAAAGGTTAGAATGGGGGATTATGAAGCCATAAAGCAAAGAAGTGCCCCTGACTCAGGATTTCTTTGCAACCTCAATCTGATCTTCTGCTTGCTAACACAACAGGAAAATTTCAGGTTCACTCAGAGATCATCCCAGAGGATTGTTGGCATCTCAGTCCAGAAGGGCTTAAATCGTCCTCTCTGATTGGCCAGTCCACATTTTGGCCTTCATTGGGTAATGAAGGGCTCAAGCAGGTCTCACATCCTATAACCAAATCTAAGCTCAGCAAACTCTAAGGCATAGCATAGCTTCAGGGAGTCAGAGAACATAACACCCAAGGCAGGCGACATTCCTGATCTTGTTCTCTACACACCCAACATTTCCATCTCCCACTTCCATGACTTTGTACTGGATAGCTCCCAGGCAGGCCCTCCCCTCTACCTTTCAGAATCCTCAGGGTCTTTCAATTCTACACTTCTACCTGAGAAGGGGGCATCATCTTCCCTCAGAAAATTACCTCATATTTATTTTGCAGATGCTTAGATAAGAATAAGTTGAATACCCAGATGCAATGTATCCATAATGTCTACCACAGAGGAATCATTTAAGAAATTGTTTGTTGAGTAAGTGATTGGTTGATTAATCAATTGATTGATTGACAAGTTATACTTAACAAAGGAGTGCCAAGTCCTGAAATCAATCAAAGCCACAAATAGAGAAATAAAGCATCTTTAGTGGAGATCTTAGGGCAGGAAACCTGCCACCCCATGGGATTTCCCATGAGTGCAGAGCAAAAAGGATTTCCCAATCTTGAGATCTATGAAAAGTTCTTTTGCCTTTAGGAAGGAAGAGGAGAAGCTAGCAAGTCCTAGTCATGAGAAGCCAGCCACTCTGGGTGATCTGAGCAAGGAAAACCACTTCATTCAGGCTGTTTTGTCCTTCATGCCATGAATCCTCACAGAAGGATTAAGAACCTCAGGGGCTGACCTGGCTCCAGATGGTTTTGTTTACAAGGAAAGATTCCATGGTGGGGGCTGATTGATGTTGTTTCTTGTTGGTCTTTCTTTAAGGAAGAGGACTAGTGACATCACAAGGGCAATAGCAAGAATCGCAAGTGAATTGGATTTAAGTGAGGCAGGCCTGTGCAAAGTTATCAGCTGCACTCTCTCCTTCAGGCTCATCAGAGGCCAATGGCAAATCCTAAGTTAAGATGAGAGGCAAGATGGCCCCGGATGCACTGGAAGAGAAGTCTTTCCCAGGTCTCAGTTTTTCATTTCTCTTTTTCAGATTTCAGGGACCGTTTACAGTCATCCTTATCTATGTGTTTCCACTGGACCCAGATGGCTCTGGAGGCAAGAGTGAGATTGGTGACTTTGCAGAGCCCTGCATCACTTAAATCCAGTTTACTTGTAAGTCAAGATATCACCTTCCTGATGTCGTTGATTTCTTCAAGAATGAAGGAGAAATCAGATCTAAATAATTGGAAAAATATCAGTTGCTCATGAGTAGACTAGGCTAAAATAATAAACATGACAACTCTATCCAAATTAATTTACTTATTCAGTGCCATATCAGTCAAACTACCAAAAAAGTATTTTACGGAGCTAGAAATATAATAATAAAATTCATCTGGAAGAACAAAGAGTCCAGAATATCAAGGCAATTAATTAAAAGAAATGCAAGGGAAGGTGGCCTAGCCATACAAGATCTAAAATTGTATGTTAAGGCAGCAGTCATCAAAATTTGTTGGTATTCACTAAAAAATGGAGTGGTAGATCCTGGAATAGTTTAGGTACACAGGACACAGTAGTCAATGACTATAGTAATCTACTGTTTGACCAATCCGAAGACTCCAGCTTCTGGAATAATAACTCACTGATTGACAACTGCTGGGAAAACAGGAAAACAGTATGGGAGAAATTAGGCATAGACCAACATCTTACACCATATACCAAGATTAGGTCAAAACGGGTACACGATTTAGACATAAAGGGTGAAACTAGAAGTAATTAGGAGAGCAAGGAAGAGTTTACCTGTTAGATCTATGGAGAATGGAAGAATGAATGACCAAACAAGACACAGAAAACTTGAAATGCAAAATGGAAAATTTTGATTACATCAAATTAAAAAGGTTTTGGACAAAGCCAATGCAACCAAGATTACAAGGGAAGCAGAAAGCTGGGAAACAATTGAACAGCCAGTGTCTCTGATAAAACCCTCATTTCACAAACATATACAAAGCCAAGTCAAATTGATAGGAATACAAGTCATTCTCCAATTGATAAATGGTCAAAGAATATGAACAGGAAGTTTTCAGATGAACAAATTAAAGCTAAGTATAGCATATAAGAAAATGCTCTAAATCATTATTGATTAGAGAAATGCACGTTAAAACAACTCTGAAATACCACATCACAGCTATCAGATTGGCTAACATGACAAAACAAGAAAATGATACAAGTTAGAGATGATGTGGGAAAAGTGGAATACTAATGCATTGTTGGTGGAGTTGTGAACTGATTGAAAAATTTAGAACTCAAAACTTTAAAAGTGAATGTTGAAAACTAAAAATACATAATTTTGTTTAAAAAAGAATGAAAGACAAACAACAGTCTGTGAGTGGTAATACTGACTCACCGGGACCCAACTGTTCAGTTCCAGTTGGACAATGCTTCTTCCTTCTCTCCTTCCTTCCTTCTTCATTTCCTCCCTGTGGGGAGTCATACACTTACATATAGGTATTCTAATGAAAGGAATACAAATTTCTTGAGATTGAGCTCTGGAAAACCAGGTTTTGATAAAGCACATTCAGATTCAAATGGAGATACTTCCATATGCCTGAAATACAAATCACTCTGGGTCTCACCAACTGGCCAATAATAAGTCCCAGTCCAAGCTTCTGTTGGTCATTGTTTGAGCTTTTGCAGCTCAGAGTGACTGTAAATAGCAATTGTTTCTGTTCTGTCTAGGAACACTGAGGGTCTTCCCCTCTCAAATTGTTTTGTGACTTGATCTCTATCCACCAACCAGGAAATACTACAAGTGCAACAGGCTTGATCCCACTGTTGATTGGTGTGGAAACTTTCCGACGGCAGGAAAAGAGATGATGGACTTTAATAGGAAAAAGGTAACTGAATAACCATGTCACTCCTTTTGGCCTCAGTTTCCCTGCCTACAAAAAGAAAGGTTGAGAAAAGCAATCCTTTTTTTCTTTCTTTTTAGCTTTCAGAAACATAACAGAAATACAGGAGAGAAGAACAAACATCTCCCCCCAATAACTCAGGGGAGACATTCTCCCCATAACCCCTAGTAAACCAAAGAATCTCCAAGTAATCTTCAGCTACATTTCATCTCATTCTGGACCCTTAGCTTTCTTTCAATTTTGTTGGTTCCCTGGTCTTTTCTTTCTTAATTCTATTCTTTGCATAGACACTTATCAACTCTTGGTCTCTAGACCCAAAACCATCCGATCTCTGCTGGGAAGAGAGACCCCCACCCCCCTGCTTGACACCCTTCCTACCTTTTATAATCACAATTGGCCACCTGCCACAGCCACCACCATGTCCAGCCTAAGGCAGGTTCATTTAAAACAGCAATAAAACCAGAGGCCTTCTGAGGGGAAGCCTTCCAGGAAATACAATTGGGCCACTCCCTGAAACGTGAATATAACCACTCCTGGGGTGCTACATTTCACACTGGGCCAGCACTGTTTTGCATGCTGATATCCAAGGCACCTTCTCAAACCCAGCCTCACATACAAATATCTCCCATCTGTCTCTCTCTGAGCTCAGAGTGCTCTGCCTCCAGCTCTGCCAGGATCACAATGCTCTCCCAGTCCTTGCTCCTCTGGATCCTACTGCTCTGGCCTCAAGGTAAGACTTCCAATGACCCATAGTTTGGCATCACTTTAGAAACAGGAGTTTTCCAGTGGGCATCTCTGACACAGCCTGAGGGTAAGGGAACTACTCCTGCATTCACTATCTTTACACAGGATGCTTCATTCACTGCAATCTCTTTCTTCTTCTTCTTTAGAATCCCAGGCAGCCATTGAGGTGACCCAGTCCCCAGCCTCCCTGTCTGTGGCTGCAGGAGACCAAGTTACCATCAGCTGCAAGGCCAGTTCCAGCGTTAGCAAGTACATGGCCTGGTACCAGCAGAAACCAGGACAGTCTCCCAGGCTCCTGATCTATTATGCTTCCACCCTGTACTCTGGGGTCCCTGACCGGTTCAGTGGCAGTGGCTCTGGCACAGATTTCACCCTCACCATCAGTGCAGTGGAGGCTGAGGATGTGGCAGATTACTACTGTTTTGCGTTATAGTGCTGCATTCCCACAGTGTTTCAGCCCTGAACAAAAACCTCCAGGCTGCTCAGCCCTTCAGCAGAGGGAGCAGCTGCTTCCCCAGAGTCACAGGCTTGAGAAAACCATCGCCCTCAGGGGAGAACTGGGCCCAATTCAGTCCTGCTGCAGGAGCCATTCGTGAAAGAGACCCTAGTTGAAAGGTTAAGAAGAAAGAGAAAAAGGAGGAAGAGAAAGAATCTTCTGCCTGGTAGGCTTTAGCCAAGGACCACAAATCTTCCCATGTGGTCTGCTTCTCATTCTTACTCTGTCCTCTGCTCCCAATCCTAAGTCCAGAGACCTGAGCTGCTTCTGAAGAGGAAACTATAGACAATGCAGGGGAATGGACCTGGACTCTCAGCTCTGTCTGTTTTTCCCCAGGCAGGATAGACAAGGTGTGTGGAACAGTCCCTAAAGTTCTTGAGGCAACCTCATCTATACAATGGATCTAGTCTTTCTCCTCACCCTGGGAACTCACTGGCGCTGTGCAATCATTCATGACTCCCATCTGCAGGGATAGATGCCTGAGAACCTGATTTGAGGACAACAGGCCTGCTATCCCTATTCCTGTAGGGCCAGGATACTGCCCTCCCCATGATGAGGGGCAGAGCCTGGACAGAGCAGCAGCAGCACTGGAGCCAGATCAGAGAGGGGGTAGAGGAATTAGCATTCATGACCACAAGCACACAAGTATTCAAGGGGACCAAAGTAGTCAGACACACACACACACACACACACACACACACACACACACACACACACACACACACATACATACAAACACAAATATAGGTAACCAGTTAAAAGTAACCAAGGGGTCTCAAACCCTTCGGTGAATTAGGGGTGTCTACACCAAGGCTGTGAAAACTTCCCCTGGCAGAATGGCAGATGAGAATAATTCGTTCCAATGGCCATGAAGGTAGGTGAAGCAGGCACCGTGCAGTACTCAGAGCTTGGTTAAACATTGAGGACGCTAAGGTCACCCACTGCATCTCGAGCCATCACCAGTCATCTTGACTCTGTCCTGCAGCTGGACTCTGATCACTCTGGAGGAGAGAGGAGGCTGTCTGCTTCATGCAACTCTGCCTCACTTAAACACAGTTCACACATGAATCAAAAGATGTCCCTTCTCTGGGTCACTGTTAGGGATTTGATGGCTCAAAGGGAGGGTAAACAGCAATTGCCACTGTTCTGAACAGACACCCTAGGATCTTCCCCTTCCAAACTGTTTTGGGAGTAGATCTCCCTACCTCACCTGGCTGATTGGAGCTTGGTTAGACACCAAAAAGGCCAAGGCCACCCACTGCAGTCAGCCATCACCAGTCATCCTGACTATCCTGCCAATGGACTGTGATCACTGTCGAGGGGAAGGGAGGCTGACAACTTCACACAACTGTGCAGCACTTAAAGGCAAATCACACATGAATCAAATGACATCACCCATACCATTTGGTCATTTTTACATATTTCAGAGCCCTGTGGCAAAAGGCAAGTGACAAATAGCAGGTGCGGATACACAGGGAGCTCTCCTCACAACCCTGCACACAGGCTACCCAGGCCATAGGGTTGTCTTCTCACTGGAAGCAGCAGTGGGATTCAGCAGCCCCTGGGTGTCTGAGCAGCCTTTTTGAAGGACCATACTGCTCGCCTCCTGGTGTGAGGAAGGGGCTAGGAAAGGTGCCCTAAAAATAGCTCAATCTTATACTTGCATCTTACTATAATAACCTCAGATGTTCCAGCACCAAGCTAGTATTTAATGGATTTAACAAGCTGGTTACAAACTTTTATTACAGAAATGGACCATAAAAGAAAAGGGACAAAAAACTAAAGTAAGGGAACAATGTTTCCCTAACTTCATGTCAATTCCACACAGATGTTATGTAATGACCAACTGCATTGAGCCAGGCTTAAAGTTTGCCAGGTGTCACAATGGGCAAAGTGAGTCAGGAGAACCCTACTTCAGCTCATGCAGAAGAATCGTCCTCCCAACCTTCCCATGAGAGCCCCCTCTGCACTTTATATGCAGTTCACAGACCCACTAACCCCTCCCTACAGGGTTGCTGGCATCATGAGTCAGTGGCTCATCTTGATAACCATACCTGAAGTTACACTCAGAATAAAGTCAGTTATCAGTCCCATAAGGTCTGAATTGCAAGTTCCCTAATCAGTTTCAGAGGTGACTATGATCTCACATTGGTTAGGGAACCTCTTTAAAGTGGGCCTGAAGTAGTTTGCATGCATTCCTACACATGTTCCTCCTTAAATATCATAAAATACTTCAGGAATTGAATCTTATACATATGATAAGTTCAAACACTAATTTTCAACCCTTCTTTAGGCCATGGAATGAATTCAGATCAAAACAGCAAGATCTTCCCCATTTACAGCTCATTACATGCTGCTCCCATTGAGCTGCTGACTCCCACTTTATTTCTCAGAAAACATCTATTAAGGCCATTCCAAGGACAACAAATCTAGGAATGAAATTCACACAAGGTTTGGACATAATTGTCATCAGTATCAAATTATTACTGCAACAAGTTGGCTTGGAAATGGAAACTATAGTAGGCCTTCTAAAAATCACACAAAAGATTTTGCAAAACATTTCTTCATAAAAGTATTTCCCTTTCTTTAAAACAGCTTACCATTTATCCTCTTACTATACCAGAATAAATTAATTACAAGCAGATTTCATAAGGTCCTTTCTTTGCACAATTACCATGTTTCCTTTCACAAAAATACTTGTGGAAATACTTGATTTAAATAATAACTTCAAATACCTCCTTAACAATCTTAATGTTCATAAATGAGAACTTAATAATTTTAGCTGAAACTTCCCTTTAAATATAGACAAAACATGGAAGTTTACAATTTCTTAAATTATAATACTTCAAAAATATTATAACACATGGTCTGATAGAATGACTTAAGAGCTTCCTAACCCATTCATTTTTTTCTCCTTTTCTCTGACAGTACAATGCTTAATCTAATAACATCTAGATTATAAGAGAAATTGTTTTTTAACAGCAAAGGTGATACAATTGTTTACCTAATTACACAATTTAGAAATGTAACAATACCCTACACATTATAATGTACTTAAAACTTAAGGCCCATTATCAATTTAGGTAAATGCATTTCTAAATCACCTTGCACAGAGAATCATTCATCTCATCATTCTTATGTTGAAACTACAACCTGCAACCACCTTATATATTTTCATACTAGCCAAGATTTCAAATGAAAAATCTTCTTTCATAGTAAATATCAGTATTAGTATTAGTATTATTACTTGATTGTAACCAAATATACTTGATTAAATGTTAAGTTTTCAAAAAGATTTGATTACATCCCTTTCTTTTTAAAAGGCCCAATTCCTATGCAACAAAATCTAGATTAAAAATTGAGAAATACAGTAATAACACCAATAATAACTTCAAATGACATCAATTGCATTTTCTGATGATCACATATAGAAGTTATTGATCTTATTACTTTTGGTATTTCAAAACTACTTCAAAGTTATCAGGTGTGCAGCAATTACTTTAAATTAGAGAGATAATATTAATGTTGTCTAGCATATGCCAGTTATTTTACAATCATGTGATCTCATAACTTCTCTCAAAAGTGACTTCCACTATTACCCCCTTACAGAACAGTAAACCGAGGTAAATAGACTTAAATCAAATCAAATCTGGATTTACAATCGCTAATGATAAACATTTAAAACTCTTTTTAAAAGTCCAATACTCTTAGCCCTTTGAAAGGAAATATTATCCATAAATTCATAGATTCTCTTAGAAAGACACGTGGTGACAGTTCTCAGCTCTGAGTAACTTTTTCTCTCCACTTCCTTAAGAGAGCTGAAAAGTCTCCATTTTTCAGCTTATTAAAAGATAAAACTACCCTAAAAAAAGGTTAAAACTACCTAAGCATTCCATCTCCTGTGATTTCCAGACTGATGCATAAATTTTACACACTTTAAAATCACCTGTAATCCAAGTTAGCAAAAGGGTTTGGCCTAGCCAAAGAGACCTGAGGAATCTGAATCAATGCTGATTGGGTGTGGCCAGTTTCCTCCAAGTAGAACCTCACCTTCCTGATGTCATTAGTCTTTCAAGAACAAAGGATGAAGCAAAATCTGTGAGGAGGAGTAGCTGCCCCAATGGGGACCAACTGTCCAGCTCCAGTTAGGCCGTGCTCCTTCCCTCATTCCTTCCTTTCTTCCTCAATTTCTTTCTTTCTCCCTTCCTCACCATGGAGAATCACACA